GTGTGTGAGAGAGAGAGAGAGAGAGAGAGAGAGAGAGAGAGAGAGAGAGAGAGAGAGAGAGAGAGAGAGAGAGAGAGAGAGAGAGAGAGATCTGTCTCTGTGAGCTAGTGCATCCCTCTCTCTCTGTCATGCGCGCGCCGGTGTATCTGTAGTTCTGTGTTTGAGAGAGAGAGAGAGAGAGAGAGAGAGAGAGAGAGAGAGAGAGAGAGAGAGAGAGAGAGGACTGACGAGTTGTGATTGACATGTTTGGTGCATGGGTGCAGCAAGGGGAGCATGGAGGAGGGCGAAGAGACGGGGGCGGGCAAGGGGGTGGGGGGTACTCGGAAAGGGGTTATGGAGGCGGAGGTGGGGAACGCGGCTACTCCCGTCGCGGTGGGCAGGAGGACGATGACTCCCCTTCGAAGCATCTTTGGGTGGGTAACGTGACAGCGGATGTCACTGAGGCTATGCTCAAAGAGCATTTCGGTAAGCATGGCGTCATCGAGAGCGCGTCGGTGTACGGCCATCGTAATTACGCTTTCGTCAACTTCAAGACGCCCGAAGAAGCAGCTGTTGCCAAAGCCAACTTAAATGGCGCGATCATCGGAGGCTGTCCTATTAGGATCGAGTTTTCCAAAGGGGTGAGTCCATTGTCTCCCACCTTTGTCTAGTAATTTGTTACCTCCTCTTCTCCCCAGCCCTCTCCCTCTCTCTTTTCCTTCTCTCTCTCCTCGGAACTCTCATCTCAGTAGTTGCCATTCTTCTGAACTGCCTTGAATCAGTGAACTCTCAGTGAACTCTCAGTGAACTCTCAGCGAACTCTCAGTGCACTCTCAGTGCAGTGAACTCTCTTACTTGTCACTAGATGGGAGTGGATGTCCTCGTTTCTCTGTTCTCCATGTGTTTCGTTTCCTCTCGTGCGGCTTGCGCTTCCTCCCCCTCTATCCCTGTCGCTCCTGTTTCGCTTTCTTCTTCGTCTTCCTCTCTCTCCCTCTCTCTCCCTCTCTCTCCCTCTCTCTCCCTCTCTCTCCCTCTCTCGCTTCTTTTTCCCTTTTCGCTCATCTTTTTCCCATTCGTTCTCTTCCTCTCTTCCACTTGCTCTTGTATACCACCCTGTGTACAACCCTATAATACAACCCTGAAAACTGCCCTGGACACTGTCAAGTCTCCTGTCGTTCTTTTCCTCTCTCCTTCTCTTTCTTGTATACAAATCTGAACGTTAACCCTTGAACACTGGCAAAGTTTCACCTTTAGCGTTTTCCTGCTGTCCGTGCACCTGTCGTTGTCTCTCTTGCCCATATGTCTGCGAGCCGCGCTCGTCTGGAAGCCTTGTCCATTTTTGAATATATGTATACATATACAGTAGTTTAGGTATGTATATATGTACAGTATTCATGTGACGATATATATACAGTAACGTAGATATATATTTATATATATGTTGGCTATATGTAAGTCTATATAAATGCTTTGCTTTGTATGTAGTGTACGTATTTCCATTGACGTATGTGTTTTCGAGCTGTTTCCCACCCATTGGGGTCTTTTCCCCGGTCGCTGTCCTCCTCGCTCTTTTTACCTTATCTGTGCCCTCCCTCTTCTTCGCCTTCTCCTTCGGCCGTTCCATTCTTGTTCTTGTTTTTTTTTTTCCCCCTCTTCCTCTTGCATTGTTGTCACGTCATCGCTTATCTTCTTCCTCTCGTCGTGATTCTCTTTCCCTCTTCCTCTTGCATTGTTGTCACGTCAACGCTTATCTTCTTCCTCTCGTCGTGATTCTCGCGTCATGGCGGCTTTCTTTTTCTTCTGTCCGACATTCTTCTTGGTGTGGGGGTGGGTCCGCGCTCCTAAAGCGCTGTACTAGATTACGACGGGCCTGGAAAGGAGAGATGAGACCCTCTTCATCTTGCATGTCGAGTATCACATCGTGCGTGCGCCAGGGTTTCATCCTCCCTTTCCCTTTCCAGCCCCGTCGTACTCTAGTCTTCCCCCGAATACAACGTACGGTCATTATAGCTCAATTTAGACTGAAAGATACCCCAAATTCAGCTATAATGACCGTGCGTTGTATTCGGGGGAAGAAGGTAGTACTGCGCTTTTGGCACCTTCCGAGCAGGGTGCACTTGAATCACGAAGGGTATCACTCCGTCACTCTCCCGTTGTCTGCGTTTTTTCTCCGTCGTTCATTTAGCAGCACGGAAACGTCCCGACGACCTCTATATGCTTCATCGTCGACGTTTTCGGTTCCCACCCTTCTCTCCCCTTCTTTTTCTTATTTTGCCTGTCCTCTCCTATACCCCCTTGCTTGTCCCCATCTGGAGCTTCTTCTCTCTCTCCTCTTGTATGCCTCCTCTTCCCCAGCCCTCTTTGTCCTCTCCCCTTGTCTTCTTTCTCGCCTTTCTTCTCCACTCGGCTTCCCGTTCTCCCCTCTTCTCTTCTCTCCCATTTTCTGCTTCCACCTTCCCTTCTCTCGCCTTCAGTTCGCTCCCCTTTGTTCGTCCCCTCTGCTCTCTGCTTTTCTTCTCCCTCCTCTCCCTCTTCTCCCCTCTGCTCTCCATTCTTTCGCCTCTCGCCCTTCTCGATTCTCCTTTTTCCCTTGTTCTCCCCTCTGCTCCTCTCTTTTTCCCTCTTCTTTACACTTCTTTTCTCTTCTCCCGTCCTTCCCCCTTTTCTCCTCTCTGCTCCCCCTCTTCTCTACCCTGGTTTCTCCTCTTCTTCCCTCTTCTTTACACCTCTTTTCTCTACTCCCGTCCTCCCCTCTTCTCCACCCTCTCTGCTATCTTCTCTACACTCGTCTTCCGGCTTCTCTCCCCCCTTTTCTACTCCTCTTCGCCTCTCCCCCCCCTTCTTACCCTTCGTTCCCTCTCCTTCTCTCGACTCTTTTTCCCTCCCTTGTCTATCCCCCGTCCATCTCTCCTGTCCCTCTCTTCCCTTTATCCTTCTTCCGTATCTTTAAGTCCATCGCTCTCTGTCGTCCTCTCCACTAGTTGCCTATCTTCATCTTCTCCCTTCTCTCCCTCTTCTCCCCTCTGCTCTCCTATCTTCTTCTATTTCGTCCTCCCTTCTTCTTCTTTCTCCTTTTCTCTCCTTCTCCCCTTTTCTCCTTGCTCCTCTTTTCCTCTTTATTGGCCGCCTTTCGTCCCGCCTGTCTCTCCACCTGGCTGCCCCCTTTCTTCTCTACCCTTTCTGTTCCCCTCCTCTCTCCGTTTTCTCCTCTCCGGTATCTGAGGTCTCGGCGTTCCCCATGCTTGCGTTTCGTCCGGTGCCCTTTTAGTGTGATTGCTTTTCTTCCTCGTTCATTACCGGTTCCTTCTTGATATCTGCAGAGCTTACTTCTTTTTGTCCCTTTCTTTCTTTTTGTCTTGGTCTATGTATTTCCTTCCCCTCTCCCCCCCCTTTCCCTCTCTTCTCCCCTCGCTGTATTTTGTCTAGCGCACTTTCCTCTGCACAGCTATGTCGTCCATTCCATGACCTCGAGATTCCGTTTTCTGGCTGTTGATTGCCATTCTTTTTCCTTTTTGTCTTTCTTCTTCGAGTACCCTGCCCGTTTGTCACTACCCCGGGGTTTAATATTGGATCTTTGGACTCCTATCCCGAAAATCGTGTTTTTTTTTTTTTTTTTTTTTTTTGTTGAAAAATCGTGGTTTTTACATTTCACAATCTTCCAATATTTTTATTCTGTCTATAGACTCTATATGCTATATAAACCCCGACGAAACAGTTTGTCACATCCCTTCCCTCGTTTCTTGTCCTCTTCTCCCTCCCTCCCTCTTTGCCTACGGCTTACCGGGCAGCTCTGTTTGACAATATATCGCCGCTCAACGTACATCCACGTGGGCGGCCTTGTACGCAAGAGGTTCTTTTTGAACAGGGGGAGTCTTGTGAGGAAGAAGATAAAAAATGAATTTATTTCTTCTTTTTATCGCATTTGCGCTCTGATAAATTTGTGACGATATACATATACATACATATAAGAGCTGATGAACACGCGGAGCTTTCCTTTCTTTTTTTGGTTTTTGTCTTTTTTCGCCTTTGCGCTCCGATACACGGTGTGTCGATATACATAACTCCGACGAAACAGTTTTTTGTCCCAGCCCCTCCCTCGTTTGTTGTCCTCTTCTCCCTCCCTCTCTGCCTACGGTTTACCGTCGGCAGCTCTGTTTGACTATATACACACCTGGGTGCAAGTGGGTCCTTGTGACACACGGGGATGGGGTCGCAGCCAGCGCTCAACCTGTCATCCACGTGGCTGGCCTTGTACGTAAGAGGTGATGAACAGGTGGGGCTTTCCTTCCTTCATTCTTTTCCTTGTTTTGCTTTTTTCCGCCTTTGCGTTCCGATTCACAGTGTGATATATGTATATATCTGATAACTTTGTGACAATATATATGTATATATCGTCAACAGAAGGACGACAAACGAGGGGGGGCTGTGACAAAAAAACTGTTTCGTCGGAGTTGCACCGACTACGTAGGGCGCCCTAAACACGGCATCTTCCCCCCCAAAAAAAAAAAAAAACAAAACAAAAAAAAGAACAAGGCGTCTGGACCTGACAATATACCACAACCGATGGAGTGCAAGTTCCAGGTGCTTTTCATAAAAATATAGACAACTCGTTGTTCAATGGGCACTCTGTGGATTATGGGACAGCGTTTCCGGTGATGGAGTTGCAGTTGGTGGGTGGTTCTCTCCTTGCCTCCGGGTCCCCCCTTTGAATCAACAATGGGCTTTTATTCTCCACGACCCAAATCATATGGAGGACTTTTTTTTGGGCTAATTAAATAAAGCCTTCCTTGGACTTGGTCCTTCAACTACCCTCTTCCCCCGAATAGAACGCCCGGTCATTATATAGCCGTATTTGGCACAACTTTCAGCCCAGATACGGCGATAATTACCGGGCGTTCTATTCGGTAAGGTGAAGACGGTAGTTGTTGTCTGCGTCCTCGAATGCTCCGGCACGTGGCACCGCCACACCACTGCTGAAACAAAAAAAAAAAAGATCAAATGCAACTTCCACAGAAAAATGGTAAGGTGCATCCATTTTTTATTCTCTGCGGGAAGATGCAGAGAATAAATGCTTCTTTCCGTTTCGACAGGGGTGTGGCAAGGGGCCCTATCTACGTGTATGTGTGCTGTTTGGACTGCACGGAAGCTGTTTCGCTTCTCCTTTTTTTTTGGGGTCCTTTGATTTTCGTTTAAGGCTATTAACGAAAGTAGCCCAGCTCAAAAAAAAAAGAAAAAAAGAAAAAGGAAAGTAGCCCAGCTCAATTCGGAGTCTTCTTCTGTCTAATCTGACAGGATGACCTGTCTGGCCTTATATTGGTATTTTGCTTCCACTTTCTTCGATTTTAGGGCGTCGATACATGCATTTGGACGCCTTTCTTGACCAGGCGCATTCGGAGGAGCTCAACATTTTGAATGTATCGGGACACGATTAGGAGGTCCAAAGACATGTAGGGTTGTGCAGAGGAGCGAAGCCCTTGCTCTTGCTTCTGCTTCTTTGCACGTCGGCATTAGTCCTGTGTATTGAGGTTAATGCCCGCCGTCAAACGAACCATCAAGCGAAGAGAGGGGAAGGAGGAGGAGGAAGGGGGGGGAATGAAACGAATCATCAAGCGAAGAGAGGGGAAGGAGGAGGAGGAGGGGG